AATGCAACGTTGCAAAAAGCACCACAGGGCAGGCATTTGCAAAAGATTCTTTCGAACGAAACTTTCTACTACTGACCCGTGCTAGGAAATCGATCCGCGAATTAGGCTGCCACCTTCCCCACCATAACAACCGCTCGAGTTCAATGACTGCAAATGTTACGTTTGGAAGTAGAGGACTCGAGGCCTGCCATCGATCAGGCCACAAGCACCGTGCGTCTACAATTAAACTGAAAGGTGGGACTGACTCTATGGAGCAGACAGTCCTCCTTCAGAAGCTAGCAGTCGTTCAGCTGGGCAAGAAGTTAATCACTATAATGGAACCAGAATAAGTTTTCACAACAGCTTCTACAAGATCGTATCCTGAGCCAAATTTATCTCATCCACACCCTCCCATCCTATTTCCCTACGATACATTTTAATATTATCCCCCATATAAGTCGATGTCTTCGAAGTGATCTCTTCCTTTCAGGCTTTCCAACCAAAATTTGGTTCTCCTCCATGCGTTACTGCATGTACCACCCATATAACTCTCCTTCATTTGATTACTGTAATAATATTTGGTGAAGAGAACAAATTACGGGACTCCTCACGATGCAGTTTTCTCCAACCTTCTATTACTTTCTCTTCCTTAGGTATAAATACTCTCCTTAACAACCCGTTCTGTGCTTGCCCCATAATACAAAAAGCCAAGTTTCACATCCATGCAAGCAACAGATACAATTATGATTTCCATATTTTAGTTCTGAACAGTTTTAGCATCAAAGTCTTCTCAGCTGCATCTGGTGACTGAAATTTTGATTGTAAGGCGTGTTACATGTCCTGACAATCTCATCTTTCCTAATTTGGTCACAATAAATGGCGACAGAACAAATAATGCAGCTTCTCATTATGGAGCAAACACTCATTCTCTTTAACATCTTGCTCCCAAACACCCTCGATCTGCATCCTTCCATTAAATTACAATACACGGGACAAATAACAAATAATATTTTTGTAATAAATCAGCACCATTTTTCCTATTACTGATCTGATCGGGGGGTTATTCCTGTCTCTCTCTTCAGGACATGTTACGTTTTTGTCCATTCTGCTGTAATATTATCCAACTGTCTACGTCTAGGTCTACCAAGAAGTTTGACCTGTTTCGTCAAACTATTTTCATTAATTTCTTACTTTTGTCCAATGCTTGTTACATATTCCGCCAACCTGATTTAACATTAAGACACAGCGGTAACTATGTGCACCACCTGGTTTAATCTTTGTAATGGTGAGGCGTTGTGTTTTCTCTGATGTTGGAACTGAATTTTTCATTTTCAAATTTCGTGATTGAAAGTGTTAATCCGGTCATAATCTTACGTAGATAGTAATAATTATTATGAATCTCCTCGCTCTTCTATTTTCCCAGTTTCTTTTGTAATTTCATTCTTCTTGGAGCACAGAACTTCCTTCTCAAATGTGCACAATGTACGTCGACGTTGATCTTGTGGTTATTAACACCATGTGGACAATTCGGAAGCTCTGGGAAATACTGGCTCCTCCTTCAGGGCTAAATCGAGATGAATTAGGATGTACATGGTTTACACAGAGATATGAGGAGGACTAGACCAACACAACACTTCCTAAAATGTTTCATTTCAAACCTAAAGGTGGAGGCTAAATATGTTCTTCCGATACGTAGGTATCTACGTACTTTTCCACATGGCGTTAACCCAGAAGACCAACATCGACATATTCACAGATCCTCAAATCCCATCTACAATGTTTGTTCATCCCTGGAAATGGGGGACTAAGTTTTATATTCAAATAAAACAGCAGGTAAAATTATAAGCGTATGAATTTTAATGTGTGTGCTCTCATAAAGGATTTGGGAGGATTACACATTCTGAACTCAATTCCAGAGCACCCTACAGTTGCCTAATATTATCTGTCTGTGTTTTATGGGGATACGAAAACTCGAGCGCTTGCAAAGCGTACCAAATAATTAGCACTACGTTCACCGGGTACAGCAGAAATTATTTAACGCACTGTGAAAGAGAGATTAACATGATGAGAGTTATATTTCATGTTTCAAACAAATTAAAACTGAACAAACACTATGCCCTCTACGTCATGAAGTGATGACGTAATATCCATTTTCAGTTCCCACTAAATAGAAACTTCCAAATTTATTCAAGTGAATATCAGTTAAACATTTTGTACGTCACGTAATTTCATACAATCAATACGAAAGAAGGGGGGGGGGCAACAATTAGGAAACTTTGAACTCCCTGTTTTGCAAAAGAAGTATCTTAAAGGAAGAAATGAACTTGGCCAAAAACATAAAAACGCGTATTTAATATATATATTTTAAATCAGCCATGAGAGCTACCTCCCATCTCTCTTCCTACACCATGATGAAGACAGAACTTGTTATTGAATTTTAAAGTATAAACACGTGGAAAACCCAATAAACAGTACTAGAATAATATAGTGTATTTTCTAAGCAAGACCAAATACTTCGCACCCCTTCCCCCGCGCCCTCATATACCCAGCGTCCCTCTGATGACTCACCCACAACAAGTAGACCGAACGCATGTCCTTCAAGCAGACTCAAATAGGCTGCTCACAACGAACAGGACAGGCCATAACATTACGAAAGCCACTGACGGCTGAGGCGGTTCCAAATCTGCGTGCTTGGCACAGAATCTCCAATCTAAGGATCTGGGTTGTACGAAATACAAGTGAAGTGTGGGAGAAAATCTAGTGTTGAAGCAAAGTGGGACACCAACTATGAAGGCCAGTCGAGCGAAAGAACGACCCATCGAACGAAACGGGCCTTAAAAACATGGTCCACTTTCGGCGCAAAGTAAGTTAACGTGCAGTATAATACGAAACGCTAAGAAAGGCTTCGTAATAATGTATAATGTTTCCGGACTGAAACAATAAGCAAACAACGATGATTTTAATCTTACTTTATATGAGTCTGATATACAATGGAAAACAATCAGCTTTGTAAATTTCTTTAAATTGTTTAACAATAATGTTTAAACTTAAATATTTTGTATTACATTTCTCGTAAGTACGAATGGTAAATAGGTAAGGATAAGAAAGTATGATACCATGGCTTGATGGTAAGAGGTTTCTTGTAATATGCACAATGCGTATTGTATTATTACCACTTATTCCACGTACTATAATCATCTGATGAACTCATGGATCCATGGAATGTAATAAAGATGTATGTGTGTAAGTAATAGTACCTACGAATGAAATTCTGAACACAGCAACACAACGTCGTGTTGCAAAACCCATATGCCCTCAAGTACTCGACATAACCAGCTGGAAGAATAAATAACAATCTAGGAAGGGTCCTTACTAAAATTTAACATTTCGTTACTGTAAGTTCGTTTGTGAACAGGCCTCTATTCTGAACAAAATCTTCCGACCGAAAAAATAAGAATGAAGCGGTGGGGCAGGAGAGAGGGAGGGGGAGAGGAGGAGGAGGAGGAGACAGAAAGAAAAACCTGGTCCCTTTGTGAAAATTGATGGAACACGTACTAGAGCGTCAACCTGTAGCAGAAATAACACTCCCCAAATCGCTGGGATTAAGGCAGCAGAAATACGGTTAAGACAGGTTCTGTGGCTGGAAGGGAGGCGCTTACTCTAATGGGCGCGTCTTCTTCCTACCAGCAGTTCCGGAGAACGTGCTGAAGTGGCGAGACAACGAGAAAGTCCGTGGATCCAATCCCGTGCTCGTTCAACCTAACAGATTCCCACGACGAGCAGGAGGCTTCCGGACTACCCACAGCAAAGAATGGAAGGAAGGAAGAGGCAGGGTAAGTGGGAAAGAGAAACAGAATCCTGGCGGCTTGGAGTGTATTCAAAATATATAGGCCAACCTCAAAACGTGTCTTACTTTGGCTTCGTAGCGCCTGCAGTCAGCCCAGCGAGAATCCGACTGGACAAAAACAGTGCAGACACCTTGCTAACAAGTTCCAGTGTTCTTCATATTAATTATTTTTCCATTAGTAGTTCATTTAACAACGCTTTCAGGAGTTTAGAATATATAGCACAGAATGATAGGATAAATTGTGAATAATGAATTGGAAAAGGGATGCCAATTTTAAGAACTATCGAGGAATTTGCTTGGAATGACTAAGGAAAACCACAAGACATATACTTCCCTGAAGATAGAAAGAGAGTGTTTCTCCAAAAGCTTGGTATCTAGCCCAGAACAACGTTGTCGTCATCTTCTGCACCGTCAGAAAGTCAAATCTCTGACAATCCATGATGGCAGCGGGGGCGGTAATGAAATTACTGTATCACAACCACCGAATTTCCCCGTTCAGTTGTGAACAATTCTCCGTCGTATCTGGGAAGTTCCAGGTGTGAGGATGGCTGTCTTCTGAACTGTAACGCCGCGTAGTATGTTAGGCAGCAAGTAGGCCTACCTCTGAAACGTTTGTTGACTTCTACCAGACTGCACGGGTTTACAACCCAGAAGACGGCCATTTTCATACCTGCAGCATCGAGTACCTAGACCTCACTCAGCAAGTAACGCATCACAGTTTACACAGGCACTGCCTTCATAAAACGGGCTTGCTTACACATCCTCAGCAATTTATCATTCAACGCTACTTAACCTATGTAAGATTTGAGGTTTTCACAGCGGTGAGTATGAAGATTTCTGTCATCGCCCTGATGACGGAGGCAGTATAACCTCTGAAACGTTGGTTAACATCGACCAGACTACACAGCGCAACAACCCAGAGGACAGAAATCTTCATACTCTGATGACGGAGGCAGTATGACCTCTGAAACGTTGGTAAACATCGACCAGACTCCACAGCGCAACAACCCAGAAGACAGAAATCTTCATACTAAGAATCGCCCTGATGATGGCGGCAGTATGATCTCTGAAACGTTGGTTAACATCGACCAGACTACACAGCGCAACAACCCAGAGGACAGAAATCTTCATACTCTGATGACGGAGGCAGTATGACCTCTGAAACGTTGGTAAACATCGACCAGACTCCACAGCGCAACAACCCAGAAGACAGAAATCTTCATACTAAGAATCGCCCTGATGATGGCGGCAGTATGATCTCTGAAACGTTGGTTAACATCGACCAGACTACACAGCGCAACAACCCAGAAGACAGAAATCTTCTACATAACCTACATGACGGAAAGTCGACGATAAATAAAGCAGAGTATCTCTGATAAGACACGTGGCTTAGTACGTACGACCTGACTGATGAGACAGCAGTGCTGCTTGTTCCTGTCTTCTTTCTTACCTGTAAACAAGGAGAAAAAGCAGAAGTAAGTAAACTTAAGAAGTCCACAGTTCAAGCATCAACGAATTCCATTTCACGGGCCGCGAGAAATAAGCCGCAAGTTAATTTTCTTGGAAACTTTGATCTTTTCGCAGCAAAATTCCTCGTCTAGAATGTGGCGACGTATGGGCCTGTACTTCGCAGCTTCATATTCCTAGAAACTGTAACTATGTCACGGGCACAGCGTTCTGCCTCTTACGATTGACGGGAAATGTACTTCCCCAACCTAATGTTCTCAGAAGTTGATTTATGGGAAGCATCATCAGCACCACCGCTATAATAGCTTCATTGAGCAAAAACCTCCTTTTAAAAACCTAACAGTCACTCACTCAACTAATCAAGAAATCCGTAAGTTCATTACAGCGTTTACAAGACGTGAACATTTAGCCCCAATCCTGAACCAGTCCAGAACACAGGGCCGTACTTCTTGACGTATTTTAAACGTTGTCTTCCCATCAGCTCCCAGGCCACCCAAGTAATCCCTTGTTCCGTCGGGTTTATTTTTGAAATGTCAGGCCGCCTCATTGGATGGTAATTACAAAATTAATTCTGAAGCGCCCACTATATTCTTTCTTATAGGTGGATACTTGTTATTTTATGTTCTTTTTCATGAAATTAGCACTACATTAATTTTAAGAGATACATATTCAACCGTGATTTACAAGTTTACTATTTGTTACAATATTACAAATATTTATGAGGGGAAACACGAGGAAAACATTTGTTATTTAAAATAGTCATTTCAGAGCGTCTCTCTCCAGCAGAATTTACTCTTCGCATCAAACCTGCAAGGTCCTGTGTTCAGAGCAATTCGAAGGTCCTATGATCTTCCTCTTCGCGTGAGAAATCTGGGCTCGCCTTTACAAGACCTGTTCCCTATGCTAGTTCGAAGTGTGTGGAGGATCCAATAGGAAACCACACGACTAGCTGTCCAAACGATAAAGAATGGTGAAAAGACAAGGGAAATAAATCCTTTCGGGGGGTTCCGAAGGGCAACAGTCCCTTCTTCGATATCCTGATAGAGAAATGCGCGCGTTGGCCTTCTGTCCGTTCCTGATTCAAATACGGCCATCGGTATTTTAAACATTGATTAATTGATTTTCATGAAACTCGGGTTGGGTGTACCAGCTGCTACGCCCACTTCATGCCGACACTTTAAAGCCTCCATTAACTATTCTAAACTGACAGTGGTGCTTGCAGTAACGTAAGAAGAAAGCTCCATCGCAAACGTCCTGAAATCCTGAGTGCTAAGTAAAAATCTCCAGCAACCAGCAGCTTGCAGTTTGTACTGGGGCACTGTTGAAGAGACTCGAAACCTCTAGAAACAAGCCCGCTTTTGTTTTGTGAATCGCTGCAATAAGGAATTCACACGTTTGGTGCAGTGACTCGCAATCCACATATGCACACTCCCTGGTGTAACACCTGTACCCTTTTTGAGATGAACTCTATGGCCTTTCTATTCAATAGTTATGAGAATACAACACATTTAAGGGGATTCAGAGTGGCGCCTTCCAAATGGGCATTATGCGTCACTACCATGAAGGACTACGCACTCGACTGATCGACGTGTGGAGACTTTAGTTGGATGGTGGATAGAAAGAGGATGATTTGGTTGATGGAAGAATTAATGGATGACAGAATTTCAGTTTGAATAGTAAGCGAGAGGAAAGATGAATTGTTGGATTTCTGCGTACATAAACGGACTGAAGCAGAACACAG